GTGGACTTGGAACCCAATGGAAATTCTAGGAATAATGAACTTCTGAAATTTTTGCATTCATTTTCCACTCACTCATCCAAAAATATATATTGATAATTTAATCTGGATTGGGCTTATTTCTACAAATAAAAATCAGTTCCAAGTCTGAAGGATTTTGCAAATAAAACTAGGAGATTCAGATATGAAGAGATAACAAAAAATAATTGAATGATTAAATATTTTATTTTTAAAGTATTTTAAATAGCATCGAGCAATAAGGCTAGTTGGAAGCATTACAGGGGAAACAATCTGAGTTTTGGAAATGAGAAGGAAGAAATCATCCAGGTAGAGGAAGGGGCATGTGCAAATAAATGTGATGTTATATGCAAATGTATAGAGCAGGGATCAGTGAACTACAACCTGCAGATGAAATCCAGCAGGTCCCTGTTTATATTGACCATGAACTAAAAATGACTTTTATATTTCTTACATCGTTAAAAAAATGGAAAGGAGAGTACTAGTTCATGGCCCCTAAGAAGTATATTAAATTCAAATTTTGATATAGGTAAAATTTTATTGGAATTTTGCCAAATTTGTATGTCCAGGGTTGAGTGGACATGGAACTCTATATTAGGGGTATGTGTGTGTGTTTAGATACTTAACTGCCACAGTGATCATATGGTCTACAAAGCCTGATATATTTTAGATCTCATCTTTTTAAGGTAAAAATGTCAATCTCAGTATAGAATCAGGAAGGAGAATAATCTGTTCAATAGTGGTAAGAAGCTAAATACTGGTGGAGATTAAGGTGTCTGGATGGTTAGGGGACAAAAGATAAGACCTGAGAAATATTGTTTATTCATGCTATCTTCCAAGCCAGAGACCCAGATGTTGCTTTTATTATATTTTTTTCTGATTATGGTTCTGAGTGCAATCTCTGTGAAAGAGTTAACAAAATCCTTAACTACAAGTTACTTCACCTCTTTAAACTGCAGTTCATCCAATCTGGAAGGGATCATTATAGCATCTAAATTGCATAGTTGTAAGAAAAATATGGAAAACATATAAAAATATTATTTCTATAATATAGTCAGCAAATTTTACCAACATGGGACATAATTTTCATATTTATCATTACTGCTTTTACTGTTGTGGTATAACAAATGTAGCTTATTGCAGAATAGTCAGACAACCAAAAAAAATGAAATTAGGGAAATAATCCCAGCTTTTTCCCTACTACTTCAAGGTTAGTGTTGCCAAATTACTGCATTTTTTTCTATGCCATATTTACAAATTGGAATCTTACATGTGTTTTCTTGGTTTATTTTTCATTTAACGTTACATTATTTAATACTGATAAATGTTCTTTAGAATCACTTAGATGATTACATGATATTGTCTCAAGTGCCTGGGTCATAACTGACATAGTTATTTTTGAATTACTGGTTGTTTTCACTTTTGACACTATGGTGATACAAAACTGAAAATATTTATGTGAGAAATCATATAGTAATTCTACTTTTGATTATCTGAGGGAAGCTTATACTGTTTTGCATTATAATTGCAACATTTTACAATCTCACAGTGCAGAAGGATTGCAATTTCTCCACATTCACACCAACATTTGTCAGTTTTCTTAAAGAAATAATAGCCATTTTGACAGGTGTGAAGTAATATCTCATTGTGAGGTGGGGATGTTTGCATGTGACTAGTGATGTTGAATACCTTGTCATTCATCTGTTGCATGTCTGCTTTGGAAAAATGTCTGTTCAAGTTCTCTGCCTATTTTTAATTAGATTACTTGGTTTTGCTGTTTAGTTATAAAACTCCTCATATATTTTGAATATTAACCCCTTATCAGGAAGATGATTTACAAATATTTTCTGGCATTCCACAGGTAGTCTTTTCATTTTATTGTTTTTTTTTGTGTCCAGAAGCATCGTGTTCCACTGCATTTCTTGCTTGCTCTTGTGGTGTCATATACAAAAATAACCATTCCAAAGATCAATGTAGAAGAGTTTGTCAAAACCCTGTTTTCTTCCAGGAGTTTTATGATTTCAGGTCTTACATTTAGGTATTTAATTCACTTGGAGTTAATTTTGTGAGAGATAAGGGAGTTCTTTTTTTTTTTTAAGTATGGAGTGTAAAAGTTCATTTCGTTGTGGTTTGTGTGATTTTGCTTTCTTATTTTTATTTGTGTCTACCCCTTTTGAAATTTTCTCCACCTCCAAATTAAAAGAAATTAATACAAAGATCAAGACAAATAGGCATGAGTACATTTCCACTCATTTTGCTGTGTACTAGGAACACTCATTTCAAAACCTGTTAGCTCAGTGATATTTATTATTCTCAGAGCACTATGTTCTGCATTTTATTTTCATAATTTCATATAATACAACAGATATTCTGCGTATCTTTCAGTCAACTTCATTTACATCTCTAATGCATAGAAAAACCTACATAAACTATATTGTATGTCCATCTGCCTTTCATATTCCCCCAAATTATTCTATATTCCCTACATTATGATCTTCATTGTGATTAATTATAATTTATTATTTTAAATATCTCCTGATTTTATGTTTCAGTGAACAATCAATCACCATATCTTCAGTGTCTCCATAGAAGTGAAACAGATACTGAATTTGTTCATGCCATTTAAGATTTTATCTTTTATTTCATATAGTCCAGGTTAATTATTTGTGAATGTTTTCCTTTGAATGTTCACTTTCGTGTGTATATGTGTGTGTGTGTTTCCACAATTTTGGTGGGATCTAATTCTTTTTTTTATTTATCCATTCTTGAATGAGAAGTAATTTGTTTTTTTTTCTTTTTTTAAATTAATTATTTTTAATTACTTTTTATTTTTTACATCAATGTTCATTTTTTTTATTCCAAAAGCCCAAGGTTTGTTTATTTATACTCCCCCTCCCCAAGATCTTTAATGCACAGCCAAAAAAGTCCTAGAGTAAGGTTATTCTCTTAGAATTTGCTAAGTTTTAGAAATTCAAGGAGAGAAAGAAATGAGCAAGAATGAACAGAGCATTATCAACAGCCTTGCAATTTTGGTTTTTTTTTTTTTAAGATAGATATATTCATTCATTCATTCATTCATTTACTCATTTATTTATTTATTTATTTATACAAGCACTGGGTACAGTCAGAAGCATGGGAAGGTGAGAGAATTCACCAGAGCCAGAGCAGGGAACAGAGCAGGCAGAAGGACCGAAGTACACTGCTGAGGGGAGCAGCGGGTGGCAGGAGAGGTCTGTGCGCCATGTGGGACCCTCCTCTGGTGGCCGGGGAGCAGCCGGGGAATGAACCGGCGCTGCAGAGGCTGCGGGCAGCTTCGCAACCTAGCTCTCAACTGCTGCACCACCAGGGAGGCCCCTCTGGTTGTTTTTTTTTTTTTTTTTTGGTAGCATTTTATACTTCAATTTCACTCTTTTTAATTTTTTTTACATCATTGTTCATTTTTAAACAATATTTGCTTCACCCCCATCTCCTCAGGTGTAGTCCCCATAGTTTCCTTCCCCAAGGCACCCGTGCACCATCACCTCAATCCCTCGTGCTCCTCCCTCCCTCTGATCCCTCTCCCTCCTCCTCCCCTGCAGGATGTCTCTGATTTATAATTGTCTGTTTTTGCTTTGTTGTGTTTTGTACTGTTATTATTTTTTTTACACTGATGTCTTATTTGGTTCCCCTACATTCCTGCTATAAGTGAAATTACCCGATATTTTTCTTTTTCCTTCTGGCTTATTTCACTGAACATAATTCCTTCTAGTTCCATCCACGTTGCTGTAAATGGCATGAGTTTATCTTTTTTGATTGCTGAATAATATTCCATTGTGTATATATATCACATCTTGATCCAGTCATCTATTTTTGGACATTACTGAACTGGTTGATTATTTTGAGTAGTTTTTCTGTAGAGTTTTTAGGGTTCTCTACGTATACGATCATATCGTCTGCAAATAGTGATAGTTTTACTTCTTCTTTCCCTATCAGGATTCATTGTATGTCTTTCTCTTGTCTTATTGCCCTGGCTAGGACCTCCAATATTATGTTGAAGAGCAGTGGTAAGAGAGGACATCCTTGTCTTGTTCCTGATCTTAAAGGAAAGGCCTTCAGCTTTTCGCCATTGAGAATAATCTTGGCGCTGGGTTTGTCGTATATGGCTTTTATCATGTTAAGTTATGTTCCTTTCAAATGAGAAGTAATTGTAATCTTTTGGGACACACTCACTTCCTACGTAGTTATTGTACAATACGCCTTTCAGATCTTAATTTTGAGAGCAGTCGACATACTGGGTCTTGTCAATCAATTGTCAGTTATAGCTTTGCATGACTGAAGAGGAACCTCTTAAAGTTGTTTCCTCATAATCTGATTAGCAAGAGGAAGTAATTACTATATGATATAAAATATTCTATAGTTCTTACAGGGAGAGGGGGCAAAGTACATTAAAACTACTACAATCTGTAGGCATCTTCCATAATCCATTGTCTTTTTTCCCCAGTTATACTTACCTCAAAACAAAATCAAATACTTTCATTTTTGGTACTGAATAACTTCTCAAACTATTTTGGGATTGCAGCCCCACACACATACAAAAACTACTAATTTTGTCAGCATCCAGAGAAGATGAACACAAAATCTATGAAGAAGGGGTATTTATAATAAAAATAAATAGAAATTTCTTACTGTTCTCTACTTAACCTCACTGCAAAGATATTAAGTGTGCAGCAGAAAATGGGTGTGCATTGATATACTCTGACTTGTTTTAGCAAGTATGGTAGCAAAGTGGAAAATGGATAATTAAACAAAACCAATAGGATGGGACAGTGATCTATTGTTCATTTCAGAGCGCAGGTTCTGGTCATGTTTCTTTATTCTTAGACAACATAGGCCCTACCTGTTCCCTTCGTAACCCCTCTTAGCCTCTTTCTCTGATACTGAGAAGGAGCTGAGACAACAAATCCAGAATCTGACACTTCTAATCAAGAATCTCTCTATTTGACTACAGCCGAGGATTCATTCCTATATTTATGGCTGGAGGAAACTGGACACGAGTTAGTGAGTTTATTCTCATGAGCTTCTCTTCTCTGCCAACTGAAATACAGTCGTTACTCTTCTTGACATTCCTAATCATCTACCTGGTCACCTTAACAGGAAACAGCCTCATCATTCTGGTCACCTTGGCTGACCCCATGCTCCACAGTCCCATGTACTTCTTCCTCAGGAACTTGTCCTGCTTGGAGATTGGCTTCAACCTAGTCATTGTGCCCAAGATGCTGGGCACCCTGCTTGCCCGAGACATGACCATCTCCTTCCTTGGTTGTGTCACTCAGATGTATTTCTTCTTCTTCTTTGGAGTTGCTGAATGCTTCCTCCTGGCCACCATGGCATATGACCGCTATGTGGCCATCTGCAATCCCTTGCACTACCCAGTCATCATGAACCAAAGGACACGTGCCAAGCTGGCTGTTGCCTCCTGGTTTCCAGGATTCCCTGTGGCTACAGTGCAGACCACATGGCTTTTCAGCTTTCCATTCTGTGGCACCAACAAGGTGAACCACTTCTTCTGTGACAGTCCCCCTGTGCTGAAGCTGGTGTGTGCTGACACAGCACTATTTGAGATCTATGCGATTGTGGGGACCATCCTGGTCGTCATGACACCCTGCTTGTTGATCCTGTGTTCCTACACTCGCATTGCTGTTACCATCCTCAAGATTCCATCAGCTAAGGGGAAGCATAAGGCCTTCTCTACCTGCTCCTCCCACCTCCTCGTCGTCTCCCTTTTTTATGTATCTTCAAGTCTCACCTACTTCCGGCCTAAGTCCAATAATTCCCCAGAGAGCAAGAAGATGCTGTCCTTGTCCTACACTGTTGTGACTCCCATGTTGAACCCCATCATCTATAGTCTGAGAAACAATGAGGTGAAGAATGCCCTTAGCCGGACCTTCCGCAGGGCCTTTGGCCGTAGAACTTACATCCCATAGACATTCAGACATAAGATTGAAGTTTATTGAATGGGGAATCAGATGTTCCATATTTAGGATTCTCTGTCCCTCTCTTCATACGTCCATTGGTGTTGAACCCAGATATCAAAATGGTTATTGGAGAGCTCAGAGCAGAGTACAGAGGTAGATCTGACCTATCACTTCCTTCTACCTAACTCCTATGCCTGCCCACGGTAGACTTACATTTTTTTCTTACTGGTATAATTGACATTTTGAGACTTTTGTGGCTAACACATTCTAGGTATTTACTTTGCATATGCCTGTCAATGCTACATACATTGAGGACAATATGAAACTGCTTATAATGTGTATTTTGGGACAAAAAAAGGCATTTTGGCACATTATCTTCTTTTAGGTAATTGGATATGTTTGATTCCATTCAGTAGGAAAAAAAATCTGTAATTCATCATTAATTGTATATAATTCTCTTTTATTTCATGTTGCATGCCTCTAAGCCTTTGTTGGCTCTTCAGTTTGTTGGCATTTAGCATAGATAGATAAAAGTAGATTCCTAATCCCCATGCAGCCTACTTTTCTAGGTAGAATGACTGAGTTTCTAATTCTCTCTTTCAATTCCACTGTCACTTTCATAAATCTTATTGAAGTAATTTAAAAAATTCAGACTTTCAGTCACAGTACTGTTTTTTTCAAGTTCTAGCTCATTCCAATAGTTTTATTTTTTTTTAAGCAACTCTATTATGTTTGTTTAGTGTCTTTTAACTCTAAAATTTTGTGTTGGTTGATATGGAAAAAAAGACCATCAGGCACAATGTCTTCCCTCAGAGGTTTGTAATTTCCACAACAGAAATTATGAAAGAAAAAACTATAAAGTTTTGAAGTAATGGAATATTTTGTAACATAAAAGATCCTTGCCTCACTGTATATCCTGCTCTACCATTTACCAGCTGTGTAACTATAGAAAATCAATTAAACTGTCTCTTTCTTCATCTGCGAAAGTTTATAAATAATAGTATCTATCTTGTAGGTTGGTTTTTAAGAGTAAATGTACATAAAGCAATTAAGACAGTACTAGCATAGCACATTATTAACATATAGGTATTTGCTCTTAGCAATTAATCTGAAACCTGTATTTTATAGCTAAGGAAAGAAAGTTCAAGACATTTGATCATATAAAATTAGAACAGAATTCATATGTCTCTAATCTTAAAATCTTTTTCAGTCCCATGAAATGTATAGCTAATTAAATAATTAACTCAGATTCAAAGTAAAAGGATATTTTTAAAGAGCAGAATGGGCAAGAACTGTTTAGACATTAGTATGTGGGGAAAAGACATGAAGTACATGGATTTAGTCCAGCTTTAAACTGAATTAAGAGAAATATAACTGACTTTGTAGGGATTAACAACAAAAAGCCTCAAACTATTTAAAAGTGTTTAGTCCACATTTAGAATATCCTTCATTAAAGACATATATTGAAAAGCTTGACAACTAGGAAGTTTATGAAAGAATAATCAGGCCTTTCAGAGTCCTTGAGAATATTAGAGTTCAAGTGAAGAAAAGAGCAAATTTTGTTTTAGAAAGAGAATTTATGATATTACTGCATCTTAAATTATTTAAATAATTAATATAGGGAAAAGAATATAGACCTTTCAGTGTTGTTTTCAGAGGTCAGTAGTAGAATTAATGAATAGAAATTAAGAGAGGGCTATTTTAAATAAGTCATTACTTTTTAAGCACTTTTCTAAGTTCACCATTGTAGAAGAAAACTATTTTTGTGATGGAGTAATTGAGCTATGAATCTGGGTAATTTAAACACTTGTGATGAAAATACATGAAAATTGGAATTCTTTTCTTCACCTGGAGACTGCTGAAACAAAGACAGACTACCACATGTGCCCACACTGAAGCATGAAACAGCTCTCAGTCATCAGCTTCTTGAAACAAATACTGAAGTCCCACCACATGACCTCAACATCCTGTCTCTCAAAACATATGGAATCTACACAAAACAGTCCATCTGCCTTAACTTCCTTTCATCCCTCACCCACAGCTCCAATATTCATCAACTCTCCCATACCTTAACTTAATACTGCTATAATCTCTTTTATATATACATGTTTATTGTTCTCAAATCTCAATAATCCCAAATTCATGCAGTCAGAAAATAGCAGACTAGGATGCAAAGCTAATAGGATGCAAAGCTAATATTCTGACATCAACTACAATCCAACCCCATTAGAAGTTAGCTAGGAGTTATGTTAACAATGCAAAAAAAAAAAAAAAAAAGCAAAACTTTAATAGATAAACAGTTGCTTTAAAATAAAATGAGGGCCTCCCCGGTGGCGCAGCGGTTGAGCGCTGGGTTGCGAAGCTACCCGCAACCTCTGCAGCGCCGGTTCGATCCCTGGCTGCTCCCCAGCCACTGGAGGAGGGTCCCACATGGCGCGCAAACCTCTCCTGCCGCCCGCTGCTCCCCTCAGCAGTGTACTTCGGTCCTTCTGCCTGCTCTGCTTCCCGCTCTGGCTCTGGTGAATTCTTTCACCCTCCTGCGCTTCTGACTGCACCCAGTGCTTGTATAAATAAATCTTTTAAAAAATAAATAAATAAAATGAGCAGTTTTATAACAAAAGATTAAGAGAAGCAGCTGCAGTGTCACTTGTCAAGAACTATAGTAGAGGATTTTTTTAATAAAGTTATCTGAATGTCTGTGATACAATAGTGCGTATGCTAATATATATATTGTATAGTGAACAAACTTCTCCCATTACAATTTAGGAAAAACTGAAAATTATGAAGAAGAAAAAAAATGACAACATTCTCATCACCTGGAGACGAGTCACAATCACACCTTACTGCACTTATTTCTACTGGCCTCTGATGATTGTAGACATACTGCATGTACATTTTCATATCCTTCTTTTCATCATGTAATATGTTAGCTGAGGTTGCCAGACTGAACACTCAACAAGTTATTTAAAGACATTAAAGCATTTTTTCCTATAAAAGAGGGAGAACTATGGTAACTTTCATACAGGATTGTTATAAGGATTAAATTGGGTAATGAACATAAAGCTCCTAACATGAATCATAAATATTTATTTTCCATACTATTGTAATTATTTATAATAATACTAAAAGACAGTGAAGTATATCACCAGGTGTAAATGTCATTGACTTTATCTACATATGCTCTTATTTTCTATAATTCAATTGCTTCTTGATTTCCAGTATAAATAGGAATGTAATGAATATTTTAGTAGTGTAAAGTTTTTTTATTTCATTGAGTCACTTTATTAAGATAAAATTCTAGAAGCAGAATTAGTGGGTCAGAATCTGAATTTTTATGCTTTGTTTATTTTGGCCATATTTATTGTTTTCTGACTATGAGCCATGCTGTGTTTATAGGTTTTTCCAAGGATAACAGGCAAAACTAATAGTGATAAAGTGGTCAATTCATCAAGTAACATAACCATACTAAATGGGTATACACCTAAAAATAGAGCTTCAAAATAGGGAGGGAAAATTGATAGAACTGACATGAAAAATAGAAAAATCTAAAGCATAGTGGGAGATTGCTATACTCATGTTTCATTTATCAGTTGGGCAAGTAGAAGGAAATCAGTAAGCATGTAAAACACTGAGCAACATTAAGAATGAACTATTAGACGACACCACAAAACAGATGACATTTTTTAAATTTCAAGTATCTCTGGAATTTATTATTTATTAATACATAGAAATAAATAGGTCTTTATGTTTCTTCTTGTATGCTGTGGTCTTGCAAGCTCATTTGTTAGTTCTACGGATTGATTTTGTAGAATCCATCTCTTCCTCTAGATTGCTGTGCCATATGCCCACATAGTCATATTTGCCCCTTTGTATCACTACGCATTTTCCATTATTTTTCTTGTCAAATTACACCATGTAGCAACACTAATATTATGTTATGTTGAATAGAAGTGGGACAAAAGACATCTTTGTTTCGTTTATTAATTACAACAAATGCAAATCCCAAAGAAAAATGCAGCCACATTATCCCATGGAAACATAGTAGTTTATATTCCCACGAATCATGTCTCATTCCTTATATCCCTATCCAAAAATATTTGGTAGCATATCTTTAGATACTTGCCAATCTGACAGATGAAAATGTATCTACTTTCAGTTTAAATTATACTTAACATACTATTTTTCAATGTTTAAAAGAATTGTATTTACTTTTATTTGCTCTGTATATTTATATCTTTCTGTCAGATGATGTTTCTATATTAATCCTGATTTACTGCAATTCTTTCAATGTAGTAGGAACACATTTTTGAAAATGAGTCACATTTTTTTAACCTGTATTTCATTTCTCTCAACTTTTCTCATATAGTCATGTGTTACTTAATGACAGGGACACTTTCTGAAAATGTGAAATTTAGTGCTATTATTATTATGTCAATGTCATGAAGAATAATTATACAAGTATAGATGGGCTAACCTACTACACATCTAGGCTAAATGCCATAGTATTTTGTGCTCCATTATTGACCAATATGTTTTAGGTTACATTTAACTATAGTTATATTTTACTCTACAGGTTTAGGTGTTATTCTTTGGTGTACAAATATAGCATTTTTATTTATTTTTTTAAGTTTTTTTTTTTTTTAGAGGCATGTTTTTATTTATTTATTTATTTGTTTGTTTTTTTTGTTTGTTTGTTTGTTTTGTTTATACATGCACTGGGTACAGTCAGAAGTGCGGGAGGGTGAGAAAATTCACCAGAGCCAGAGCGGGAAGCAGAGCAGGCAGAAGGACCGAAGTACACGGCTGAGGGGAGCAGCGGGCGGCAGGAGAGGTCTGTGCGCCATGTGGGACCCTCCTCCTGTGGCCAGGGAGCAGCCAGGGATCGAACTGGCGCCGCAGAGGCCGCGGGCAGCTTCCAACCCAGCGCTCAACCGCTGTGCCACCAAATATAGCATTTTTAAATGCCTATTAGTGCTTCTTTGATTTTATTGTTTAAAATTTATATCTTTATCAGGTATGATATGTAAACAGTTTATTTTTTTCTCCAGTTGCCTTGCCATTTCTCACCACCATTT